AGAAGCAGTCTACCTTACATGGGGAGTCCTTCACTTACAACCACAATTGGGATCAGCATTTCCATTGCTAAGCAAGTAAGTGAGTCGCACCCAATTTTACAACCCACAGTTAAGTGAATCAGGCTTCCATCATTGCCTTTGCGTATTGGAAGCTGTAAAGATCACAAATAGGGATCACGTGATCAAGGGAATACTGCAACAATCATAAGTGCGAGGACTGATAGTAGATCAGTTTTTTCCATAACCCGTGAACATCAAATGACTGCTAGACAAATGGTTGTAGGCTGAGGACGACCTACCCTGCCAGAGGCTGAGTGCGTACCTGGGGGTCCAGACTTACCTCGTGGAAAGACTTGAGATCTGATCTTTGGCCTCTCCAGCTGAACAAGGTTTGGGAGAACCAGGTTAAGGGGCTTCCTTCTGTTAGAGGTTTGGGGTCAGAGTAGGTGATGCTGGTAAGGGGATCGGCCATTCATCTGTGTCCTTGATTGCCTTTGGGCCCCTCAGCAGATTGTTCCAATTTGCCCCCAGAATTCCCAGATATCAGGATCTCTTTGCAAAGCCGTGATTGGTTGTGCCCGGGAGACGTGTGTGTGTGTGTGTGTGTGTGGAGGCAGTGGCCTGCTGTGGTCCAAGGGGTTGCAAGGAATCAGACACAAGACTGAACAACCACAACCTCAAAGATGGCCCCAGTCTACTTTTCTGTGGCACAGCCAAGGCGCAGGTTTAAGCTCCAGCCTTGTCATCCACTCCAGGGGAGACAATGAGAGGTTTGTGAAATCTCACCCCAGCCAAGGAGATCCATTGTCTAAGCACTCCTTAAAAAACAGATTGAAAAGGAGGTTGTGTTTTAAATAACATCTAAACAGCTATTAAGAGCTAGGTGGGTGGCAAAAATAGGCTGGTAATTCCTTGGAGGTCTGGGTGTGTGATGGCACAGCGCCTGGATGCCAAAGGAATTTCTTGGGCTTCAAGTCAGCCCATTGTTTCATACCGTGGCTCTCCTCCTTTGGGGCTCTTTCCATTTTAGCTGGATTTCTAGTCTTTATTTCGGATCCTTCAGCAGGGAACCCAATTTACCCAAACAGAGGGCGACACCTTCAATATCAGATGGACTGATCAGCCTTGTGCAGATGGAGGGGGAGGTCTGGGTCTGGGTTTTGGCTTCCCTCCCCAGATGTTTTATTTGATTGCATCAAAGCAAGTAACAAGGAATGCGGGTACATAAATACTATTAGCATTGCAATATCAAATTTGATTTGTTTTTGTTTTTGCCAGAAAAAGGCATAGAAAATAATATAGGAATGGAAACAATCCCAGGGAGGGGATACATGACAAAATGCCGCTTGCTTGTACTTTCGTGGAAAGAACAGCTAATTTGGATCTTGATAAACAATGTACATCAACCGTCTCTTGCTGCAGATCAGATACAGATTCATGTATTATGTAATAATTTATATAGCCAGGCCCATCTTGCCTGGGGAGGGGAACGAGGGGGGGGGCTGCTGCTTTCTGCCATGCATAGTGTCAGCAGTTGATCACCGGTTTATTTTTAGATGTCCCTCCAGCTGTGGAGTCAGTAGATCAACCATCATTCTGACTTCACTGAGTGATGCATTGTTTGTTTCTATCAGAAGCATCACAATTAACATAAGGCGTACTATATGACATAAAATTCAAATCAGATCTTGGCCAGAAACTAGCGACATTAATTGTGTTCTGTCATGCTGCCATGAGCTCCTCAAGCAGACACAGGGCAGGTATACATATGTGTTGTCTTCTGCATGTCACCACGATCAGAAAGGCCACAAGCCACCGGATAGCCCCACTTGTTCAGAGCCTCTCTGGAGCTTCTTGTACCCGTTCACAGCCTGTGCAGTGATTTCCATACTTCCCAGCTTTGGTCAGACCCGGCTGCCAGCCCCTCCGTCGGTTTCTCCAGTGTTGGATCTTTGCAGCTTTCCATAGGTCTACTCGGCTTCCAAATTCTTCAAAGTCTTCCGTCAACCTAAAGAAGCTTTTCCTGGATTTTAGTCTCTGATGTGAGCTGGTTGTAGGCCGTAGTGAGGGCGTTGTCTAGATATTGATGACTTGAGTCTCTCGCTGTATGCTCCTGATTCTCTGTGAATAGCAGGCAGGGCAATGCCAGCTAGGTGGTAGATCTTACCTAGAGGAGAAGGTTTAAGGCATCCGGGCATAATTCTTCTAGCTTCATCCAGAGCAACATTTAGTTTCCCAGCAGGTGCTAATTTATACCAGACTGGGGAGGGGCAGTGGTGAAATCCATTTTTTTTTACTACCAGTTCTGTGGGCGTGGCAGGGGAAGGATACTGCAAAATCTCCATTCCCATCCCACTCTGGGGCCAGCCAGAGGTGATATTTGCCGGTTCTCCAGACTACTCAAAATTTCCGCTACCGGTTCTATGAACTACTCAAAATTTCTGCTACTGGTTCTCCAGAACCTGTCAGAACCTGCTGGATTTCACCCCTGGGAGGGGGCGTATTTGCCTGCCAAGCAGGGTGGATAAAAATCAATGATTTTTTAAAAAATAAAATAAAAAAAAATCAGATTTTTGTTATTTAAATCGGATTTTTTTTTATTTTTATTGAATTTATTTTAATAAAAAACTTTTGGGGTAAAAATCTATCGTAAGATAGTTTTCTATTTAAGATACATAAATAATTTAGTTTATTCAGCATGAAATGGAGCTTAGTTATATAGCATGAGGCTGTATATTCTGCAGCACTGGGACTATCAGTGAGTCAACAGTGGGGCAAAGGAGTAGCAGAGATGACAGTTGCTCTTTAAAAATTATGATTTAAATTGAGTTGATTTAAATCAAGACTTTTTACTAGTGATTTAAATCAACTCAATTTAAATCAAATCCACCCTGCTGCCAAGTAGCAAAGAGCTAGAGCTATTGTCTTAAGGTTTGGCAACCCAGGTAGACCTAGTTAATTTCCTGGGGAGATTATATCATCCATTGGGCTTCAGTTTAGTGTTGGTACAGGGCTGCTTATATGTTAGGGCTTCCATGTAGAGAGACCCCGTAAATACTTAGGCCTGTAACAAAGTGGTGCATTTATATCTCCAGATCCCCCCCAGAAGAAATGGCTTAAATAAACAGCCAGATGGCTGGGCAGTTGTTGGCTTCTGCCGGGTCCAAATTGAGAGGATGTCTTTGGACACGGTCACCTTGCTATGCTAGAAGGAAGTTTGCTTGTCCACAGCTCAAGCACTGCTGGGAGAGCAATGCTGGTGCTCAGAATTTGGGGCTGCCCTAGTTTAGCCTAAGTTTTAACACTGGTCTTTCGTAGCTTGGCATGCGTGAAGCTTGCTCATTTGATTGGGTTAGGATTAATGTACGGTGTAAGGTCTACTCTGGAGGCTATATTGATTCAGTAACCAGAGTAAGTGTGTTGTGTGGCTCCAGCTGCTGCCCTGAGCGTTCCCAGGAAAAAATCCCAAATGAAATCCTGCATGGATGGTGTGGCAGTCTCGGCCAGTGAGTGATGCTGCCCTTGTTGGAGCTAATGGTTTCTGTTTGAAAATGAAGGCGTGCAAGTAAAACGGATCAGATTTTGCTCAGACTCGCCTTCTGCCCCAACACTATTCCACCCCCTCTCTGTTTTGGGAGTGGCTGGGTTCTGTGATTGGTAAATCCAAAATAAAAAAAGTGCTGCCCTTTAAGCTGGATTGCCAGGTTGGTGTGTGCCAGGTGCTGCAATAGTTGTGGTATCAGTCATGTGACTCTGCCTTGGGCACTTTCACCTCTTCCTTGCATAGACTTTAAAAATGTAGGCTGTGAATGGGAGCAGCCTAAGCCCGTCGCTTTGAAGTGAGGCAAGGCTGGTCGGGAGACCTCTGCTTGGTTGAGCTGCAATCTGGCTTCTCGGGCTAGAGCAGCGTTTCTCAACCTCAGTAACTTAAAGATATGTGGACTTCAACTCCCAGAATTCCCCAGCCAGCATACAGTATGTGGGCTTCAGCTCCTAGTATACTACGGATTCTCAGGTTGGAGTCCAGGCAGGTTGGCTGGAGAATTCTGGCAATTTAAATTCACACATTGTTGAGAAACCTTGGCAATGGACAGACATAAACCATAATAAATCTATGAAAAATAAGTCCAACTGTATTAAGAGGCCTATTCTTGTGCAGCATAAACCTTGCTTGATTTAATAAAAGTTCTTTTGGGTGGAGTTGTGAACTTATGCATCGTTCAATACTGCTGTAAGCGCCCTGCATTCAAGGGAAGTTGGTAGGATCCACAATAATTAAAATCTGTCGTAACAGATGCATTTTCAAGCATCAGAAGACGTTAAGCCACACAGTTGGGGACTGGCAGTTGTTGATTACTGTGAACTGGCAACAGCATAAAGATTGGAACAGCCTTTGTGAACCATTATACAGATCAACCTTGTCCAGTTGTATCTCCAGAGATGTTGGATCCTAATAATGGCATTTAGTGCAGTCTACCACATTTGGAAGACACAGACTTCAGGAAAATGGTTGCCTCATGGTTAATAACAGTACATGCCCCTTGCCTTGTCAACGATGGCTGCTAGTCCTGGTTTACAAAAGGACAATTGAGCTGAAGAGAAACAAACACCCCATCCTTCTCTCCAGGATGAATGCAGCAACCTGGTGATACTCCCTGAGGGAAAGCAAAGTGGCTCTTCTGAAAAAAATTGGACCCTTCCTCAGTCTAGGAGGGGTTTTCGTGGGGGTGGGGGACACTTGCAGTTCCGAGCCTGGACTCATCAGCCAAAAATTGGGCAGCACTTGATGGGAAGGGCCTTCCCTTCTGCCACTGTGCAGGGCTGCTGCCCATCAGATCAGGCAAGGGTTGAGGCTGTGGAGATTTCCTGCCTTCCATTTGCTGCCCTGTGTGTGTGTGTGTGTGTGTGTGTGTGTGTGTGTGTGTGTGTGTGGAGGGGGAAATGGACCCTCATCTGCCTGCTCAGTCTGAGGGCTCTTCTTCTTCCCTCTGTGTTCCCAGGTGCTGCCGCCAAGGTAGAGAACGAGGAGAAGCGGCTGAGCATCCAGTACAAGGCTGTAGAAGACCAGCCGGACAATGTGTTCTTCCCCAGCAGTCGTGCCCCATATCTGGAGGAGCTGCACGTCCAGGCCCAGGCGGGACTCAAGTCCTTGCAGAACTTAGGTAGGCTGACTGGTTGGTGGCCAGGAGGGGCTAGTGAGGCCTTGTGAGGGTAGACTTTGGAGCTGCTTGCTGGTCTGTAGGTCTCGCCCCACACTGAGGTGGCAGTTTTCCTTGCTTAGCATCACATCTCAAAGCCAGCAGCTTTGCACGTGGTACTGGCCAGTCTCTCCCAGCCTGATGCCCTCAAGATGTGCAATGGGATGGCGAGTCCTGGTTGACATGAGATTGAGAAAAGTTGTGCTGAAAACTCAGCTGCATCCATATTTGAATTTCTGAACGAAGAACACAAAGTTTGTGGATTCAGATGTCCCTTACAGGTCAATCAGGTTCAGTGCAGGAATCTATTAAGCCACCCCAACAGGTGGGCCTGCAGCAGCTGGGGAACCCAGTCCTGTCTCCAGTCAGGAAATTCCTCCGAAAATCCAGCTGGAATCTCCTTCCTTTTAATTCAGCCCTTGATAAGCCTGAAGGGAGGGAGATTAGAATGCAAGAATCCCCCCAAATTAAGCAGTCCCAGGATAATTTGGTTTAATTTGAGAGTCTGAACATGCCATTGTGGGAAATGTGTGGCCAACTCTTGGCTTCCCAATTCAAAAATTTCACTGATCTCTTGGGATAAAATTCATGGGATTAGTAAAAATAATACCTTTTTACAGTACAAGTATAGCGTGCAAGTTTCCCATACAATTAGGCAAGTATTTTTCCTCCCAAAGTGTAAATGCACATGGAATGAAATGAAAAAAAAAGGGGGGGGGAGGCAGATTCTCCAAGGGCTAAATTAGGCCATGTAATTTGGTGCAATTTGGGTAATGACGGAGGAGATGACGGCACGAAGAGGACATTCTTCCCTCAACTCTGAAATGTTCTGCCTTCCCTAAGTGGAATCACAGGGTGATGTTGTGATGGCACCGAGGGGAGAAGCCACACAATGGTGGGTTTTGAGGGAAGCAGAAGGTCCTAATTTGAGATGTAAGCTGTCTAGGGCTTTGCTTGGAGAGCCATTGATTGTAAAGTGGGATATCATGTGACTTCATTGCTTAGAGATGTCAATCCCAGCAGTCTTTGTCATCGTCATAAAGCAAGGACCAGTGGGAAGAGGCAGGCAAGCAAGCTAGAGCTGCAGGTAGGTGTACATTATGGAGTGCAGACAGGTGGGCACAAAAGGTGGCAAAAGCAACTTGTTGGTTTCTCCAACTATTTTGCTTGTTGGAAGCTGACAGGGAAGGTCACAAACAATGATTGTGTGACCATCTTAATTGTGAGCTGGTTGCCAAGTATGCGAATTGTGATCGTGTACTGCAATGTCAGCAACCATAAGACTGGTCATAATTCCCTCTTGTTTAGCGCTGTCATAACTTTGAACAATTGCTGAATGAGTGGTTGTAGCCCAAGGACTACCTATAGATACGCCCTGAGTGGGATTCCAACCAGGTATATCCGACTGAGTTGTAAAGGGTCTGGGTGAGTCTCTGTCAGTGACTCTGAGGAAGGGGAGAAGTTCTCTCTGCTCTTAGTTCAGCCACCTGCTTGATAGGCCCAGGAGCCTCTTGGTTGTTGTTGGCCAGGAAGATGACTGGTTGTTGGGCCCGTGTGGTAGCATTGGCCTCTTTGTGAGACAGGGGAATGCCTTCGTCTGTCTTCAAGGAGGTGGTGATGCATTCTCTCAAGAGATGCCTCTGGACTGTTTTAGATACCTACTGTCCAAACTTCCTTTTCAGGGAAGGTTGTTGTGAAGGTGACTTGGCTACATCAGACCCATTTCAGTTGGATTTCAGGCCAGGTTTCAGCACAGAGACAGCCTTGATCTTCCTTGTAGGTAGTGGAACCAGGAGAAGCAGGGGTGCGTCCCTCCCCTGGCTCCTTGATTTTTAGAGTGCCTGTCAATACCTGGACCAGATCCAGCAGCTGGGAAGGCAGGGCTAGCCAGATTGCAATGGCTCTTCCTTCCTCCCAGCCCTGCTGCCGTCTGTGTGGATGTGGAGGGAGAGGCCGCCCTCCTAGGCCTCTCCTTTGGGAGGTGTCTCCCCTTTTACTCAACCTCAGCATGAAACTGCTGAGCAAGGTCATCTACTTTGGGGGTCCAGGTGTCCTCAGTCTGGGATGCTGCTAATTCAGTTTTTCACACCCAGACCAGCCAGGCTCAGGCCCCAGTGGCTGGGGTTGTTGGGAACACCTGAACTGAGACCCGGACGCTGCCTCCCTGATGGCCTTAAAGACCTGGTTGTGTCCCAGGCCTTGGGTAGGGTGGGGGAGGGGATTCCCCCTTTCTTAGATGCAGTCTTCACGTTTATAGATACTTGATGTGAATTGGATTGCCTTTCTGCTAATTCCTATTCCTGACTTCACTCACTGTATTTTTATTCTCTTCTGCATTTTACTTCACATTGTGAGCTGCCCAGACTTGCTTTGGAATTGAGTGGTGCCAAAATGGAGTGCATAGTTTTGAGCTGATTTTGTTTCTAGGGGGAGCAAAGGGGGCTTCTACTGGGGGTGTTTTCTCTCTCCCTTTTTCCTCCTTGCAGACCCCCCTTCCACAGTTTGAAAAAAAAAAGGGAGAAGAGGCTGTTCCTGTGGATTTTAACTGAAGTGGGCAGCCTGCAGAGCCCTAAGTGGGGATTGTGCAGTGGAAAAGGGGACACCCCTGGCATTCTTTGTAACTAAGGAAAGGCCAGAACTTCACCCATGAGAATGTACCTGGAATTCTTTTCTCCTTTGAAATAATGCTCAAAATACACATTGTCTTTCATCCAGCTAAATGAGAACTGGTGGAGAGAAATGCATGATCCACTGCCTTCACAACACAGCTTTTTAGGCTTAGATTGGGATGGCCGGTTCTATGAGTATTGCACATGCACACAGAGAGAAAGAGAGAGAGAGAGAGAGAGAGATTTGCTTTAGATGAAACATTTATCTGTTGGTGGTTCCGCCCCCAACGGAGGCCAAGCAAGCAGAATCCTCTGCAGCTGCGCAGAGCGGATGGGCTGGTGGCAGAGCCACAGCGGAGTCCAGGGCTGGTGGGCCCAACTCTTTAAAGAGCCAGCAACTCCGGCATCTTCATGCTGCCCCCCAGTGCAGCTTCTGGTCACCAATGGTTGGGGGCTTACAACTCAAGGGAGCTTCTAGTGTTACCATCTCTGCAATCAAACTCCCCAGATCAGGGTTCGGGGGCCCCCAGGCCTTCTCGAGATGATCCATGGCTGTGTCTGTCCTGTTGCATTTTAGAGAAACAGAAGAAGACCAGGAAGATCTGGGACCACAGTGAGACCAGCAGTATCCAGGTAAGTCACCTGCCTGCCTCCCGGCCCCCCCGTTATCTCACTGTACTGTGCACACCCCGTGCAGCAGCCATGCCCTTCTTGGGCCCTCCCAGGTTTGCTGGGCTACAGCTCCCCTCCAAGGGCACCCCTCTTCTTTGGGCCTAGCATGCCCTGCAAACACAGCTACTTGGGTAGACAGCTGGGGAGTTCTGGTCTGCCCCTTGATGTCAACCTTGCCTGGCCGATGAGGGAGGAGGCAGGGCCACGGGGTCTCTCCCCCCCAAAGCCTCCAGAGTGCTGTGCTTGACCTTTGGAGGGGGGGAGTCTTCCCCTCCCTGCTGCATCTCTGGGAATGTTTACCTTGCCTTTAGCCAGCTGCCCTTTGTCCCTTCGGAGTGCCCCATGGCCTCCCTCAGCTGCCAGAAGTCGGCTGCTCCCATCCAGGTGCCTCTTTTTGGAAGGTGATTGTTAAATTTGCTTTGTTTGTCTATTTCCCCCCCTTTATTAACATATACACAAAACACTAAGTAACAATACAGTGGAGAGCTTAATCCTACGTAATTAGCCCAAGACCCAAACCTTTATTGTATAACAAATACTACAGTGATTTCCCCCCCTAATGTAATATTAAATTCTGGATGAAGTCAAATAATCTTACGCACAGTAACACTGAAATCCAAAATTGTAACTAATATAGATATAATACTTCTTTCTCCTTTCTTTCTCCTCAATAGTCTAAGTTACCCAAAACAATCTTGAATTGAAGGTAATAATCTTCAATTAATATTTTATAAATATAGCCACATCAAATTAAAACATATTAAGATTTACAGCAAACTAAGAGAAAAAAAAGGGGGATGAAAAGAAACTCTCCAAGGATCTGGGGCCTTCTGGATGAGGAATAGCATGCTAACATGTCTCTGAATGAGGGGAGCTGGTGATAGTACCATGAAACCTCTGGATAAGGAGAAGATGGGAGATAGTCCACTTGTGCTCCAGACAGCTGTTCCTTGTGCGGAGATGGCAGGGTAGGGGTTTCCCACAGTTTTGAGCACCAGGAGAGGAAGGGAAGCCATTACGCTCTTCAGTCAACCATAGCAGAGCCTTTCAAATGATGTTGGCTTTGCTAACTTCTGTTTCTATCACTTTCAGAAATTACCCGTTTAACTATCTTAAGGCTAGTAGAGTTCTTTAAAAGTACCTGGTGAGTTTATCTTCACTGCAGAACAAAAGAAAAATTAACTATAAACTTAAGAAATTAAAGAATTTGAAATAAATTGCAAAAAGCTAACCAAGACTTTAATTCAAAATAATTGTAAATATATTAAAAGTCAAGACACATTTTGAATATTAAGACTTTTGGTGTAAGATTTTGGAAATAATTATATAAATTTATATAAATTATAAATGTATATACATTTAGCACCCTCATGGAAGCTAAATTATTTACCCAACTTTAAGGCATAACAGAAAATTGAGACTTTTATGATTTTAGAAATTGGTTGCTACAATAGTGGGAACTAAAGATTCTGAACATACAAGGAAAAAGAAAGAAGACTTGCCTTCTTTCTTTGGTCAGTACTGGGACAGATAGAAGATGATAGAAGATGGTAGGACATACTCCAGGAGATTTTTGAAGAAGGGGAACAAAAACCAGCAGCCACAATGTCTGCTTCAGTGATAGACGTTGTCCAAATGATGTTAAAGGAGCAATGACAGGTATGAAGTAGAATATCTTGCAAGATCCACCGATAAAAAGCTGAAACAAACCTGATCTGATGCAGAAATGTTAAAATATAAAGAGATGGTTGAAACATTGGACAAAATTTAAAAATGCGGATTATAAGACACAGATGACAGTTAAAGTGGAAATACAAGTGATAAGGCAAGAAAAAGGTAAAGGTTTCTCTGTCCAGTTGTGTCCGACTCTTAGGGTCCAGTGCTCATCTCCGTTTATTGGCCGAGGGAGCCAGCATTGTCTGAAGACATTTTCTATAGTCATGTGGCCAGTATGGCTACATGCCAAAGGTGCACAGACTGCTGTTACCTTCCCTGCAAAGTGGTACCTATTTATCTACTTGCACTTGCATGCTTTTGAATTGCTATTAGGCAGGAGCTGAGGCAAGGAACAGGAACTCACCCCATTGCCTGGTGCTCAGGTCTTGAACCTGAGCTTTCAGCTTACTGATAATAATATAGAGAAGATTTTAAAAAGTAGAATATTTGTTCCACAGAAAAAATATTTGTCTGAAATAATAATAATAATTTGGAATTTTGGCTTGCTGGGACTGAGTAAGCCAGGTAGGGAACCCTCCTTGTCTGTTCTTCAGATACTCAACTCCCTGCACTCAACAAGGAGCTCACTGCAGGATGTTCAGGACTGATGGTTAGTTAATAGTTTCACAGATAGTCCTCAATGGGCGCTCACCCTGTTGCATAGTGCTCGGGTCTCGAACCTGGGCTGTTGACTTTCCATCACACCCTCAAAGGCAAGAAAATGACCTGGATAATGACCCCTTACTGGATTTACAAAAGAGATTTGCTTAAACCTCAAAGAAGAAAAAGAAAAACTGAAAAGCGATCAAATCAACAACATTTGAATGAATGAAAGGTGACCAAGATTGCTAGAAGTAAAAGGAAGGAGTACAAAGTTGATTTGATTGACCAAGGTTAAAACAATAAAGCTCTGGGAACTCTTTATGGACTTTTTTGCTGACACCAGGACTGAAATGTTAAATGTTTTATGGATCTGTGTATGGATAAGGGATGGCCTATTGGAAAAAGAGATACTTTCATGAGATACATATAAGGGGCGAAGAATTATTAACTTTGCTTTCTACTTGTAATGAAGGATAAGAAGTCACTTCAAATATTTTCTTTCTTTTTTACTTATTTTTTCCTCTTTTCTTTTCTATTGTACTTTCTATTCTTTATTTTCCTTTTCCTTTCTGGGTTTAGTTTGTATTGTCTTTTATTATCATTCATTTTAAGCATTTTCAATAAAAATTATTAAAAACAAAAACAAAAATCCCCCGGCTGGGTATATGGATGACGGCAGGCAGGGCTGCCCTCACAGCAGTGGAGCCCCCATGGAGGGTCAGAATAGTCACGGCCCTCTTTACATGAGTTGAAGAAAAGGGCTGGGCTTGGATTGTGCAGTCAGGACTGCCATGTTGACATTTCTGACTCACACAAGTTGCTCCTCTCCAGGTTTATGGTTTGGGAAGAAATCTGTTCACCAGAAACCATAATGTGGTGCTTCTGAATTCATTGAAGCAGCTGCAGCTCCGGCTGCAACATTATTTTTTCCTGTCCTTTTAACATATAACTCAAGGTGGGGAACAGACCTCCTCCTCCTCCCTCTTTTCCCCAGAACAACAACCCTGTGAGATGGGTCAAGAAGGATTGGCCCAAAGTCACCCAGCTGGCTTTCGGGCCTAAAGGGTGAGAACACTGGCTGTAGTCCAGCACCTTCACCACCACTCCAGATTTCAAAAAGACATCTTGATTCATTGGAAACTTGCAGCAAAACTGGGTACTCAGAGCCCCTCTTGGAGGGCAGGAGAGTCAGAGTGTAACTGAGAAGATTTCCCGTTGCTGCTGATGCCTGAATTCTGCAAACTGCTTAACAACTTCAGCGTTCACTTAACAACCGCTGCACAAAAAGGTCATAAAATCAGGTTGGTCACTTAAAAATGACCTGATGTTATGATGGTTTTGCTGAAAACCAGAAGTAAATGCCAATTTTGAGCAAAACTGCCGTAAAATGCGGTCATGGGACTGTAGGAAGTTGCAAATGGCTATAAATGGGTCAAATCAAACCAAATCAGCTGAAGTTCAGTCTCGTGACTCTGTAGTGGGCCCTGACTGTCAGAATTTGAATTTGGGTTGTAAATAGCCCCAAGTTGGTCCGTCATAATTGAGCAGTTGCTAAGCGACCAACCATAAGTCGAGGACTGCCTGTATGCAAAACCAAGGCAGTCTAATTACCATTTGCGCCGTTTTTATGGCTCTTGGATCTGAAGGATCTGTGCCCTTGAAAGCGGCAGGTAAGAACACCTGCAGGCTGGTTTTCCTGTAGTATCAATAAGGTGATGGCAGCCAGCTAGTGCCACCTAGTGGGCAAATGGAATGCTTCTGCCTGGGGCTGGAACTTGCTTCTTCATGTAATTCGTTTTTTTCATGAAGGCAAGAAAGAAGAGAAGCAGCTGGTGGACAAATTTTGCCCTGCTTTTCGGCTGCCAAGATTCTTACCCTCTGTCTCTGTCGGGGGCAGAAGTGCCTTTAGGTAGCTCCCCCCTCCCCCCGGGCTTTCAGAAAGTTTCACTGGTGGAGGATAAACCTTAGGACAGTGTTTCCCAACCTTGACATCTTTAACTGGTGTAGACTTCAATTCCCATAATCTCCCGCCTGGAATGCTATTGAACTTTAAGATGGATGGAATGCTGGTTGGGGAATTCTGGGAATTGAAGTCTACCCAACTTAAAGTTGTCATGGTTGGGAAACATTTCCTTAAGGGTGGAAATGGATGGCTCATGGATTCTCAACACCGTTTTTAGTTTCCAAACTGATAGAAGATATTTTAATATGGATTTCTATCAATGTTTTTCAATTTTTGATCGGAGTGTTTGTAAACCATCTTTATTTTCAGTTTGATTTTAAAATTATTTTCTTCCTTTCTCTGATTTTATTCGTATATGTAAAATACTATATTCATATTAAAAAACACTGTCCACTTTTTTGTCCGTCCTTTTGCCAAGCAGTCTTCCCAGTCCACTGAGGGTGATGACATTTCTATCCGAAGCCAAGCCTCCTCGTGCACCACAGATGCCGCCTCCGAAGACGCCATGTCTGTCCGCTCTGAGATGATCCAGAGAAAAGGTACCACCCAGCAGAGCCATTCTAGAGCAGGGAAGAGGGGTCGAGGCTCTGGGCTCAGAGGGGTCGGATGCTGAGCCAGGGAGATGAGGGTCTTCCGGTTTGCCCTCTGGAAGACAGAAGGGGCCAGCGGAAAACTCAGTTGCAGCAGCCTCTCCATCACAACTCTTTGGAAGCGGAAGCTGCCCCAGGAAGAGGGATGGAAGGCATTGGGGCCTTTAACCGCAAAAGAGAAAAGAGGATGTCACGTGGGGCCAAGAGAGGCTGCCTGGGAACGGTCAGCTAAGAGAGGGCATCACCTGCGGCTACAAGAAGGATGCTCTAAAGGGGGCCGTAAAGGAGATTCTCAGGCTGTGACGGCAGGAGAATTGCACTTCCAGGCTTGCAAGGTTCTGTTAATGTAGCCTTACAGGAAAGTAGAATGAGCTTATCTGGTCCTGTTTCCTGTCTGGTCTACCTGGGGAGGCTGACATCAAACTAGCAAGTCTGTAGGTACAAATCTCCCGCTGTCTCCTTTACAGCCTGAGAAGTGAGCGAGGGTCCTTCCAAGCTCTTGCTCTACCTTGTGGACTCTGGTCTCTCTCTGACCCTTCCCTAGGTAGCCTTTCCTCTTCCCATCTTCCAAGGCCTTTCTCACACACCAGTACATCTGCAGAAGAAGATCAAGAATTGTGTTTCTCTATTTTCCAGAGTGTAGAGGAGAGAATAACGGCTTCAGGGTATAGAAAGGCAGATTCTGTTTGGAATAAAGATTGGAAGAGAAGTTCAGCCATGGAACTACCGACCCAGAGAGTTGGTGGTCTCCTTTTTGGTGAGCACTGATCTGGGGATGCTTCAGTTTGATTTCTGCACTGAGCAGGAGGTGGGACTCCCTCGCAGCCCCATCATTTCTGTGGCTGTTGAGCCCATGCATCTCGTTGGGAGATCATGCAAGCAGGGCGCCATTTTGTCTCCTCTGTGAGCCTCAGAGACTTTGAACGGGATTAAAGGGAGATCTGATAGCATCTTCCAATCTTTGAAGGGCTGTCCCAGGGAAGAGGGTGTGGACTTGTTCTCCAAAGCACCAGAGGGCAGGAGAAGAAGCAGTGGGTGGAAGCCCTTTAAAGAGAGATCCAACCTGGAAATAAGGGAGGAATTTCCTAATGGTAAGAACAATTAACCAATGGAACAACTTGCCTCCTGCAGTTGTGGTTGTTCCTTCATTGGAGGTTTTCAAGGAAAGATTGGACAGGATGGTGGTAGACATTGCAAGCCAGCCAAAGTTATCCTGTGGTAAGATGGGTGGCCAGTAAGTTTAATAAGTAAAGAAGGCCTCCTGCCTTGGATGGGGTTGGATTAGAAGACCTCCAAGGTCCCTTCCAGCCCTGTCAATCTATGATTCTATGAAATCCCTTACAAGAGGAAAAGGTCTGGATTCTTTGCCCTTTTGGACCCAGGTTTTGTAATGTTTGCATTTTACTTTTAAGGAAACTAAGCAGGGAATCCTAGCGCATCTATTTAGTTTAATTTTATATGTTGGCACAAATACTGTCGTGTGGGCATGGGGATTTCCGGTCAACACTGAGGCTTTGCTGCTGAAGTTTCGTGAAGTTTTCCTTTCCGTTTGCTTGACTCCCTCCATTTGTCCTCCCTCTCGGCCACTTCCAGGCTCCACCTTCCGACCACACGACTCCTTTCTGAAGTCATCTGGGAAGGGAGAAAAGAGGCGGAGGGAGCGGAGGACCACAGTCCTGGGGCTGCCCCAACATGTGCAGCAGGAGCTGGGTAAGCTGCTGGCCGGGCACAAACCGGGCGGGTGGAGGGAGAGACTTGCACCCGGAGGGTCAGAGGGCAGTACCATCCATCAGCAGCCGCCTGCCTTCCCTGTGCAAGCTGGGTCCTGGTTGGGGGAGCTCAGGCGCAGGAAGGGCAGGAAAGGGAACTGGCCGATCCAGGAGCACAAACTGCTCACTTAGCCGAGGCACTGGGGAGGGATCTGCCCCCTTGAGTCCCAGAGGGAGCAGGGATTGCAACAGAGCCCTTGGGGGGAGGGATGGAATGACAGGCAGTCCTCAGTTTAGGACCACAGTGGAGCCTGCCTGTTGCAGACATAAATCATGACAGTCATAAAGCAGGTCGCCAATGTGGCCCACCTTTTTCGTGGCTGTTGTTAAGCAAACCGGTTGTTCACCATGGGCCAATTTTGCTGAAAACCAGAAGTAAATGCCACTTTTGGCAAAAACGTCTTAAAATGCCGTGTGCGAGGGATGATGCTAAAGGCTATAAGGGCAGGCCGGTTGCCAAGTGCGCCAAACACGTTCATGTGACTTTGGGGTGGGTGCAGGTGGCCGTCAAAACTTCAGAAACAGGTCACGAGTACCCTGGAAGCTCTATCATAACTTTGAGTGTTCGCTAAGTGACTTGTCCTGGATTTAGGACTACTTGTAGTCTTACAGAGGGGAAGCAGCTTTAACCAGTCTCCCTCCGAGTTGGTGGCTCAGGCATTTGTTCTGAGGAGCCCCCCATTGTGCCAGGCAGCGTCTCCCTGAAGCTGAGCTGAGTGCCGTTGAGCAGGGCCCGAATCTGGGCTGCTTGGGAGACCTAAGAGACGCTGCCACTTTCGCTAGTTTTGAAGGCGTGCAGCGTTTCCTTACTGGCCATTAAGAGTTCCCACCTTAGTGTAGATGCTGCTTTAAGCTTCATTCATTTGGAAAAAGTTCTCTACATTGCAGAATATAAAGCAAAACCTTCTCCTACAACGGACAATTCTGGACTTGTCCTACTGCGGAATTGCATTTGGCTTGAGCTGCAGTAGGTTTTTTGGTCCAGATTCTTCTTTAAGGCAAGCCTGAATGCCCATTTTGTGGGCATTTTTCCTCCTTGGCTTTCCTGTAAGATGCCTGCTGTTCGATCCTTCCCTGTGCCCGTTGATGGTTTGGACCAGATCTTTTCCAAGGGCCCCTCGGATCGGATCAGCCAAGAGGGGGAGGGTGGTTGCATGGCCAGAACAGCCGGATGGGGGGGGGGGGACAGGGGGCTTTGCACAGAGAATGCTTGGCACAACTAAATTGGGGCTGAGCAGTCTGTGGCTCACCTTGTCATGGAAACCCTTTCTAAGCATATGATATGAACTAGCCCGTGATGGTGAACCTATTGGCACGTGTGCCCAAAGTGGCACGCTGAGCCATGTTGCCTGGCACACGCGGCATTGCCCATTCCTCTTCTGGGTTTCTGGCATGCATGCACCGATCAGCTGGCCTCTGTGCGTGCAGCAGTGCCAGAAACTGGAAGAGCTGGGCTTCCATTTTCTGGCGTGAGAATTTGTGCCGGCCAGCTCATTGGCGTGTGCATATGTGCACCAGAAACTGCACCAAAAACCAGAAGTACCTTATCTGGCGTGCGTATGACCCCTGGGCAGCTTCACTTCGCTCACGCTCGCAAAGTGCTCTGTTTTCGGCACTCGGTGCCGAAAAGGTTCGCCATCACTGAACTAGGCCATTGTTTCATGCCGCAGTCTGATTACCTTGGGTCACCAAACAGCCCTTTGTATTTAGTGCATTGTGTGGACCAGACAACTTGTTGGCCCTGAGAATAGGTTCATCCTCACATTATGGCATGGCACTCCTGGAAGGATGGAGAAGTCCCGGAGATTGTGTCAGAGTTCCCTTTTGGGCTCAGTTGTGCATAACCAGGGCCGGATTTGCACTGAGCCAAAGTCAAAAGCACAGCTGGCAACTATTCTGGCTGGGTTTATGCAACATGTGTAGAGCTGTGGTGGTGCAGTGGTTAGAATGCAGTATTGCAAGCTAACTCTGCATTCCACTACCAGCAGTTCGATCCTGACCAGCTCAAGGTTGACTCAGCCTTCCCTCCTTCCGAGATCAGTAAAATGAGAACCCAGATTGTTGGGGGCAATACACCAACTCCGTAAAACTCTTAGAGAAGCCTGTAAAGCAGTCCAAGATTGCTCTTGCTATGCCAAGCCAAGACCAGCTGTGATCTTGGAGCTGATGTGGGTCCCTCCTATGTTGAGCGAGAAGGGGCCGGCAGAGCATTTCTGGGATGGCGGGGTCCATCCTCGGCCCAGTCTGGCAGCAAATTTATTTGAGATGACATCGAAACCTGACACAGTCATTGCTTCCTCAGTTCTGTCTTGTATTGGTGCCTATTTGTCTTTCTGCCTACAGGCCTGAGCAGCGGGCGTGACTCCACGAAACGTCCTGGCAGCATTGCAGTCAGAGCTGGCCTGACCCCACAACCCCTGGTGAATGGCAACCAGTTGTCCGGCCCCACCATCCAGATCCCCACCATCGATGGGAAGCCTGTAGCCACCGCCCTTCCCGAGCGGGGACCCCGCATCTCCCTCCAGGCTCTCGAGGCCAATGCCTCAGAAGCTGCCCTCCAGCAGCACATCAGCCGCATCTACTATGATGACTCGGTGCTGGGCCACAAGACGGCAGCTAAAGTGTCTCCTGTGGCCAGGCCCAAGTCCCTGGCCGTTCCCTGGATGACCACCCAGCCCAATTCTCCTGAGCTGCTGAGCCCGGTCATGTCCATCTCGCCACAGGGCACCTACCTCTCGAAGATTATTCCCAACGCCATCTTGCCACCCATGGTGGATGTCATTGCTCTGTCCCGCAACCGGGTGCGCACCCTCAGCCGCTGTAGCCTGGCCACCGCCAGCCCAGCCCTCTCGGTGCGCTCCACAGGTCACTTCCCCGCTGCCCCCCGCAGCCGTGAGCACTCCTCCTCCAGCGACAACTGGAGCCACTCGCAGTCCACAGAGACCATCGTCTCCAACGCGTCCACCATCTCCTCCCACGGGGGCCCCAGCAGCCAGAAGGATGAGGCAGGGCCGAGCGGCAGAGCCCCCCCCACAGGCAGGCCTGACTGGTTTGGTCCTTCCAGCCCTGCCAGTTCCAGACAGGTCAGGGCCTCCCCAGCCTCTCCCAGCCTGCTGGGGGTGCGGCCAGGAGGGAGCAGTGGCCGAGCCTCACCCGCTTACAGCACCAGCAGCATCGCCGAGGGCTCAGATGATGCAAGCGTACGCAGTGACCGCTCCTCAACCCGGAGTGTCTCGCTCCGGAAGATGAAGGTGGCCCCCTTGCCCCCCCGGAGGACCTATTCCTTACACCAGAAGGCTCAGCAACTGGAAGCCGAAGGGGCACCCCGAGGAATGGGGCTGCCTCCCAAGCCGGAGCGGAGGCCCCACCGGGAAGGCGCCCAATGCCCCAGCCTGTCCAACGAGAATGATGTCTTCTCCCCCATCTGCCTGGGTGGGACCAGCAGCCTGCAGTCCAACAGTCTGGCCTGTTTGCCGGACATCTCTTCCCGGAGCCCAGGGAGGGTCAACCAACTGAAGGAGGCCGACAGGAGTGAGGCCCAGGAGCCTGGCTCTCCCCACCACTTTGGCCGCACCATGTCTCCATCGAGTGGCTACTCCAGCCAGAGCGGAACGCCCACGCTGCACCCAAAAAGCCCCCTCCCTCACACCATGTCCCCGGGGAAGAAGAGGCCGCAACCGAGGAAGCCGGAACGTGTCTGCTCCCTGCAGTCCCCGGGACCTTCGCTCTCCTCCTCCTCCTTGACCTCCCTCTCCTCCTTGGCCTCTGACCCTGCGCCCCCTGAAGGGATGGCCCCTCCCACCTCCGGCCCCCACCTGGCCTCTCCGGCCGCCCCACGTTATGTGGACCACTTTATCATCCCTCCGCATCCAAAGGTCCCAGCTCCCTTCTCCCCGCCCCCCACCGAGCCAAAGAGCAAAGAAGGGAGAGTGGCTGCCTTGCCCCCCAGCATCCCAGCCCCCCGGCATCCCAGCCCTCTCAACAAGGAGGGCTCACCCCCACCATCCCCTCCGCCGGCCCACCCCCCCCCTCCGCCCCCTGTGAAGAAAGCCGAACTGAGTGCTGAGGACCCTGGAGCTGTGCCGGTTCCCTCCGAGGCTCAGGTGGGGGCTTCCACAGACCCCTTATGGCTCCCTCCACCCCCGCCCCTGCTGGATGAGCAGGATCTGTCCATGGCTGATTTCCCTCCACCAGACGAGGCCTGCTTCCTGCTGCCTCCCCCGCACTTGCAGACGGAGTCTGGGGAAGCCCCCTCTTTGGACGCAGGGAGTGCAGAGCCCCAAACTGCCACCCCTGCAGGGCAGGGAGATGGAACACCTCCCTCTTTTCCCATGGCGGTGTCCACAAACTTCCTGCAGCCAGGAATTCTGCCCCTACCGGCCCCAAGCGCGGAGCCGTTTCCACTTCCCAAAGTCTCTCCAAGCGGAGAACTGTCCATTTCTCAGCTGGGCTCCAGGCACCCCACCACCTCAGGGGTTGCAGTGCCCTCCAGTCTTTCCCCCCAGATTAAGAAGACACCCACCGGCTCCCATCCTGACCTCAAGAAGGAGCCTGCCATGCGCAGCAAGGCCACCTCGGTGCCCAAGGAGGATGCCAGCCTGCCCATCGTTACACCATCCCTGCTGCAGATGGTCCGCCTGCGCTCAGTCGACATGGAGGCCCATGGCTCTGGGATCAGTCCAGCTGGGGGATCCATGACCCCCACAGAGTCCAGCAGAGCAAACGTGCCTGTAGATGGGAAGACTGGCCCCTTGGCCCCCCAGAAGCCTCTCCGCAAGTCCCTGTCCTTGAGGGGGGGACAGCCTGCTTCAAAAGAGGGTCTCAACCCCCTGCACGAGGCTGTGCGCCTCAAGGCCTCCACTTTAACTTCCAGGGAAGCCATGAGTCTCGGAATGGCCGAGAGGAAGACCGGGAGCCGGGTGGCACTGCCAGGCAACCCTGCCGCCCTGGCTAGCAACGGGCCAGTTTCCCCACTCCACAAATCCCCCGCCTCCACCGCCAGCTTCATCTTTGCCAAGAGCCCCAAAAAGCTGGTCATTGAGACGACATCCTCGTCAGAGGCCCAGGCCAGCCTGCAGAAAAACTTGGTGGCCGAATTGATGACCGTCTCCAGCCAGCGATCCACGGCGGCTCCGGGGCTGCATCCACAGGGCTTGGCCAAGACTCCCAAGCCCCAGAGGATCCCCCCTCCCATTGCCAAGAAGCCTTCTCTTGGGCCGGGGCGCAGGCACTCCCCCCAAAGCCCAAAGTCCTCCGGAGCCGAGGAACCGGCAGTCGAGGAGCGGACTAAGAAGGTGGCCTCTGAAAACCAGATCCCTCCCCTGGAGTCTGGCGATGACAGCTCCCCAGCTGGGCCAGAAGACCAGTTGCAGAGGAGCCCCAGAGCACAAGGTGAGCGGGTGGGAGACCCACGATCCCATGGGGTGCCCTTCCTGTTGCAGGGGAGCTGCAAGGGGGGAGGGGTTGGGTGGAGCAGGAAGTCCCAGGGGCTGGACAGAGGCCCTTTCCTGGGGTTTGCGGTAGTGGGGCTTCTGCTTCTTCAAAGCTGGCCTCAGAGCTTATGTGGCAGTTCTCCTGCAAACTTTGAACCAGCTGCCCCTGGGATTTGGGATCTGGCTGCCGTTGCTTGAGGGCATGCCAGTGTTTGGGGGAGTGGCATTTCCTCCCTTTCTGTTGAAATGGCCCTGGAGGTGGGCACTGTCTACTCCAGCACCATCATGAGTCATTTTATGCTGCCCATGGGCTGCCTAGAGGGGAGGGGAACCCTCTCACGCCCAGGAGGGTCTCCTCAAAGGTTTTCCCGTCACTTGTCAAATTGGAGACTTTACACCCCTTGAAACTCACTGCCAAAGAGGACTTGGGAAGCCCGGTGGAGCCTCTTCACAATTTGGAAAAGATGCCATCAAGAGTTGCCAAGAGTGTAACTTGGTTGAGAAAACATCCCAGAATAAGGCAGTGGCAAACCCTATTGCTGCCAAGAAAATATGTGGGTTTGTCTGCAATGCATCATAGGAGTCAATCCTCCCCCCCCCCAATTCAGACCCCTGCACCAAGGATGCTTGCAGAGTCAGGCTGGGCTCTGGGTCCAGGGAAGAGATCAAGCAGAAGGTCACCTTCCTTGGACCCATTTGCCACTCAGTCAGAAAGCCAAGTGGACTGTTTGTACATCCAGGCCAAGAGCAACCAAAACTGGCTGTCAAGAGAGGAAAAGCAGATGGTTCCGCAGCCACCTATTGTCCGCCCCCATGACGTCCGAGTCCCATGTGCCCTGCTACCCTACGGCTTGGTCCAAGCGTGGTATGCCTGCTCGGCCATAAGGCCAAAGTCAACTGCGGAATTCACATGTAGTCCAAAGAAGCCACTTTGGGGCCCAGCACAGTAGCCAAAACACTTAGACACAGACTGAGGTCGGCACCCAGGTCCATGAATGGGACTCATGGGGTGAAGATTTTTTCCCCATGGCCACAGAAATCAGAATCAGAATAGAGCTGGAAGGGACCTTGGAAGTCAGACAAGTCCCGGCTGTCAGAAAGTTTCTCTTTTAATTCCAGGTTGCTTCTCTCTTTGATTCATTTCCATCCATTGTTTCCTGTCCTGCCTTTCGGTGCTTTGGAGAATAAGTTGACCCCCTTTCTTTGTGGCAGCCCCTCAAATACTGGAAGAGTGCTATCATGTTCCCGCTAGTCCTTCTTTTCTCTAGACTAGCCAAACCCAAAGCCAGCAACGGCTCTTCATATATTTTTGCCTCCAGGCCTTTAACCATCTTAGTTGCTCTTCTTTGTAACTAAGTTGCAAAATTGCAACTTTTTCCAACATCTTTTTTGTAATGTGGTGACCAAAATTGGATGCAGTATTCCAGGTGTGGGGTTACTAAGGCTTTATAAAATGGTACTTGTTAGGGTGTGTGTAAAAAGTATTTGTTGCTTGTGCTGAACCTAACAGTACTAATGCTTCACGTGATTTTGATTCTATGCCTCCGTTTATACAACCCAGGATTGTATTAGCTTTTTTGGCAGCTGCAGCCGACGGCTGGCTCATGTTGAAGTGATCGTCCTCTAGGACTTCAAGGTCCCTCTCACAGTTAAATCATGAGTAGCAAGTTGCAGCTCTTAGACTTTGTTTCAATAGAGGTGGTTCAAACTTGCGATGGCGCCGAGCAAGTGGTCCTTACAATCGGTCCTCTAAATTCTGACGGTTGCAGTGTCGTGTAGCAATGCAATTGCTTTTTGCAACCTTCCCCAAGCAAAGATAATGGAGGAGTGGACAGGAAGTCTCAAGTTGTGACAGTAATCAGGGACTGCCTGAACTGCCGTCACTTAAGCCTGATCACACAAGGTTGTGCTTTATGACCAGCTTGCTTAGAGATGGAAATGTCAGTCTCAGTTGCCATCATGAAGTAGAGACTCACTCCCTGTATCAGAAAAATCTTCCTGATGATAAAATCCATACAACAATGGAACAGCTGCCTGGGGAGGCGGTGGGTTTTCCATCTCAAGACAGCAACCTCTCCTGGATGGTTTGATTGATTTTCCTGCCCCTTGCAGAGGTTCCATAGGGGGTCCCTTCCTTATTTTCAGATGAGCATAAAGCTCCTTACAGGTACCACAACTGCCATTTGGTCTCGGCCATCACGACCCCTGCCCTGGTGCCCACCAGCTGCCAGGCTTGTCCTTGTTTTACGTGAGATGGGCAGCTATGTCAATCAATAATAATAACAGTAACAAATTGGGAGGGGGCAGGCTTGGTTCAAGGCTCTTGAAATCTGTTGCAAAATTTCATGCTATTTCCGGGAAATGAAAGTAACCCGACTCTCTCATTGCAGAAGCACAAGAGGAGGTGGTGTGAAGGAGGACCCTGCGAGGTACATTTGCCCGTAAGATACAGGGATTTAAAAAGAAAATTATTCTCAGGGACCTCTTGGGGCCAGAAGAGAAGCTTTGATGATGGCGCCGAAGAAAACAACACCTTTGTCTCCCGTGGCCTTGATATTTATGCGACAGCGGGATTGGCTTGGATGTCCTCAGCAATGCGGCTCTTTTAAACCTGGGGACAAAGGGGCACATCCCTTTCCACCCTCCTGTCTCTCCTGGGACTCAAACCTTGCGTTGGTCCTGCTTGGTTTGGTGATGTTGAATTCCCGCCCCCCCTTCCCCGGTTTGGTGTGAGAAAACAGCTTAAGATGAGGACAACTCAATATCTGCAGGGAAGACGGTCAAAACTGGATCAGCTTGTTGCAATCCCCCCCCCCAAAGATGCCTTTTTAATGGGTTGCATTGCCGTTGCTGTTCAGTGTGCATTTGAGGAGTGGAGGAGAGAGAAAATGGCCTGTGCTTGCACACCCATGTGGCATGGAAGCACTTTCTCAGATCACAGTGGGATTTGAGAAGGACGGCCATTGCGGGAAATTCCTGCTGAGTCTTCCTGGATGGTGCCGGGTCCCAGAAGAGGCCCTGCTGGTAGTTTTGCTCTGGTTGTTGTAAACGGCTGATTCCGGGTAGGGGGTGCCTGTAGGGAACCCCTCTTGCTCACACCAACTAAAGCACAAATGGCAGCCTGGAAGATGGTGCAACCGCCAAAAGACATGGATTTTTTTCCAGTCTCTCTTCGCCTGTGCCGTGAATGCTGCCTTAGGGGAGCCCTCCGGGGGAGGGGGAGAATCTCAGACCTGTCTTGCAAGGGACATGAGTAGTTAGCAGGCACCTGACACAATTGAGGCCCACAGTGGAGGCTTGGCAGGCACTGGCAACTGTAGGATATAGCTCTCCACTGCCAAAAGAGCAAAAAAAACCCACTGCATTTTGCACCAAAACATTCCAGTCTCTGGTCGTGAGGGCAGAGGATCCACTGGAAAATTGGGTGGGGGACCACTTTAGGCCAAACTGTCTCCCCCTCCCACCAAGAAATCCAAGTGATAATGCCCCAGGGCGCCTCCACTTGTGTTTTATTTGTGATGAATTTGCCCCTCCCTTACCAATGGGCAGAGAGATGCAGAGTAATTGGATCTGATTTGCCCGCCTTCTGTGGAGGGGCTGGGGCTGGGCGTGTAGGGAAGCAGCTCTTGGTAGAAGCTGGCGGGGGTGGGGGATGGCAGGGGAGGCCAAATTCCATCCAGACTGAAGGGAAAGCCTGGATGCAGAAACACCCAGTGTGACTCAGGGTGTCCTGATCCGGCCAGGAGGGTCTGCGGTGTTCTTGGGGTCTTTTCTCCCCCACCAGGCAGGCCCGCAGCAGCTCATCATAGAGGTCAGTGAGGGCAGCCTCCAGCATCCCGGGGGCCCTCCAGTGTCCAGGTCGCTTGCAATGCCCATGGTCTAGCCATACTGGCTGGGGAGGATGGGAGTTAGGGAGAGCTCGGCAGAAGCAGCTGTGGACCAGGGTTGTTCTGCCAGAAGTGCAAGAATAGGGCTGGGCATAGTTAACTATTCCAAGAAACAATTATCTGCATCAAGAGTCAACCTGGTCAGCTGAGATGTTAGGAAATGGTGCTGACTCGGAGGGACCCTCTGCAGAAGGGCGAAGGGGGCACCAAGACCAGTGCCCTCCTTCCTTCCCAAACAACCACACGTGCCTGCAGTGGCAAATGCCCCCCCCCGGCTCTCAGCCCTGGGGCACCCTGTGGGAGGCTTGCCACCATCCTCAAGGAGGTCAGGGTTTTAAGTTTGCACCAGAGGTCCAGCCAGACATTGCTGGTGCAAATCCAGGGCTCTCTTCTTCGGCCAACATGCCAAGAGCAGAGGGAAGAAAGAGGGAGGCGGAGGCCACAGCACCATCTTGCCTTTGGCTGCTCTCTGGAGAGCCAGCAGGGGAGGGGCTCACAACCGCAAAGGAGACCAAAAAGCTCTGCCTGGTTTTGTCTCTCTCCCACCTAATCCCCCCCCCTGGCTTTGCTTCTCTGTTCTTGGACAGCCGGAGCCGCTCTCTACACCTTGGAGAGCCTTGGAGTCTGTTAAATTGATTTCCACTCTGGTGGGGAAAGGGATGGGTTGCTTTTTTTTTTAATGTTCAATTCTGTTTTTAAAAAAGATTAATGTGCATTTGTAAAATGACTGATTAAAAGCTTGCTTGCTGACTCTTCTTTCCTGTGATATGGGGAGAGGAAGGGCGTGTTGGGTGCCCTGAAAGGGGAGAAAGGAAGAGTGGGTGCCAAGGGCCACGAAATGCCAGCACCATCAGGTTGCAAGGCTGTGGGAGGGGAGGTCAAAAAAGTCAAGATGGTGGGCATTATGGTACAAATGCTGCTCTTTTAAAAATCCATTGTATGCAGAAGGGCAGGACCCAAGTTGTGTGGTTGGGACTTTTTAGACACTTCCCCCATCAAAGGCTACTGGAGGGGCCCAGCTGGAGAAATGGGCTCAAGTGGCCCCTCCAGGCCTGGCAAATTTCCTTCCAGCCCCTTTGAAGGACATCAGTGTAGAGGGATGTGGTGGCTCAGTGGTTAAGAGGCTGAGCTTGTTGATCAAAAGGTTGGCTGTTCAGCGGTTCGAATCCCTAGTGCCGCGTGATGGGGTGAGCGCCCGTGACTTGTCCCAGCTTCTTGTCCCAAACCTAGCAGTTTGAAAGCACGTAAAAAATGCAAGTAGAAAAATAGGGGCCACCTTTGGTGGGAAGGTAACAGCATTTTGTATGCCTTTGGCATTTAGTGATGCCGGCCACATGACCACAGAGACGTCTTCGGACAGCACTGGCTCTTCGGCTTTGAAGCTGGGAACGACTAGCACATGTGCGAAGGGAACCTTTACCTTTTAGAGCTACAGAATCTTTTTCTGAACAATGGTTATTTTAACTAAATTGGGAGGCAGAATAGCTGTCTTAATTTCAAAGGCTCAAGACAGCCATTTTGCTGCTTAGAAACTCCCCAAAACGGAGACAATAGCCAAGTTTTGGAGGGTTTGATTTTAAAGATTAACGGATGTTTGCAAAGGGCCCTTCTGCCCCAAAGCGCAGCCTGATCTGGGGGCCCCAAGCAAGCCCCGGCTGACATCTTTGAGAAGGGCAACATTGTGAAAGAATTAGTGGGTGAGGGGCTTCCAAGGGACAAGGCGTAATCGTGCTGTTTCAACAGATTGGCTACAAAGTACTACCCATCGTGGCAAAACCTCTAATGACCAATTATGTCAACTTTTGTGTAGATGGCAACATGGGTTAAACTACCTGTCCCCTTGCCAAGCGTGGGTCACAGACCTAAGCATTTCCACTTCCGAGTAAACACTCCCGATGTGGGCTTGCTTAATTTAATTGTTGCATCAGCAAAGGCAGTTTAGGCCCTGAAAACCAAGAGAGCTGGAGTTGCAGCCCAGCCTGGGTGACCTTCGGTCAGTGCCTCCCTCCCTCTGGGCCCTCCCGAGAAGGTGGCAAGGACAAACGGACAGCAGCAGGCGGCTCATTCACTTGGAAGGAAATGGAAACGGGGCCTCAGGGCAGCTAGTCCTCCACTTACAAATAGTTCATTTAGTGACTGTTCGAAGTTCCAACAGCACTGAAAAAAGGGATTTATGACTTTCACACAACTTGCAGCATCCCCAGGGTCACGTCCTCAAAGTTCAAGCGCTTGGCAACTGACTCATATTTATGACGGTTGCAGTGTCTTAGCAGTTACGGGATCTCCTTTTGCAATCTTCTGACCAGCAAGGTCAGTGGGGAAGCCAGATCCACTTAACAACCGTGCTACTAAAGTGCAGTCATCTACTTAACAGCTGTGGCAAGAAAGGTCATGAAATGAGGCAAAATTCACTTAACTGTCTTGCTTAGCAACAGAAATCTTGGGCTCAGTTGTGGTCATATGTTGAGGACTACCTGTACAAAAAAAGGCCATGTGTTCTGGTTTTGATAGGGAGCACAGCCACTCTGGAGTTACTTAAGGAACATAGTTCATCCTCAAATGCTAAAAACTCAAAGGTTTATGCCAATTAGAGATTAACGAGAAAGCTCTGCATTTCCTCAAAACGAAAGGATTTTGCCCAATTGGCTCAAGTCTCAACTCCTGGTGTCTCCGGATAAATGCCAAGCCGAGTAAGAGTCCGAAGGGAATGGTCTGGATTTCCTGGTATCCTCCTCACCATCCGTCCCCCTCAGCCAGGGTCTTCTCCTTCGACTGAGCATCCCACCCACCCACCCACAGCACACACCTTCACCCTTGACTTGCTGAGCATCCCCTCATAAAGCCCGTCAGCCTAAATTACTCTAGGATGTGCTGGCTGGGGAATGCTGGGAGGTGAAGTCCACCCAGTTTAAAGCTGAGAAACGCTGCTCTAAGAGTAACGGCTGCAGGGCATAGCATTGGATTTGAAAAACAATTTTCAAATCACGGTTCAAAAGCTCTGAGCCTTTCTTTTTTAATACGCAGCTTCCACCGCTGTACCCAGCTAGACCAGGGGTGTCAAACTCAATTTCGGCCACATCAGGTTGTCTTTGACTTCCGGGGGCGTGGCTGGGATGGGCGTGGCCTGCTCGACATCACTCATGTCAAGGGCACCTGTGGTGGCCCGGGCAGGGCTGGGGTCATCCATTGTCTCCAACAGAGGAAGGTGAGACCAGGGAACACCAAACCCTTGTCCTCCAGAGGAGCTTTGCTGTCTGCTGGTGGCCAAGTGCTAAGGCAGGACTTCCTTTCTTCCCTTTTTTCCCCTTCCCCTTTCTTACTTTTTCCTTCCTTGCTCTCTTCCCATCTTTTCTTCTTTTTCTTTCTCTTTCCCTTTCCTGTCCCTCCTTTGATGCTCAGATGCAAAGGGGAAACATTTCTCCTTTGGGTTTTTGTTTTTTTTTTTGGTTTTCGTTTCTTTTGCTAACCGTTTGCCACTGAAACAGAGCTGGGCCCCATTTTCGGGCTGGACAAGGAGGGACTCCTGAAGCCCTCTGCCAGCCCCATTTTCAGCCTGGGCGGCCCCTTGAAGCCTTCTGCCAGCGAAAATGGAGCTGGGGGAACGCGGCCACCCAGGTTCCATTTTTGCTGGCAGAGGCCCTGGGGGCCGGTCCTTCACCGTTTCCATGGCTGCTCCGTGGGCCAGAATTAAGCACCCTGCGGGCCTTGAGTTTGACACCTCTGCGCTAGACTGTTCTTAGTGGCAGAAGGTGGAAAGCAGAAGGTTGGTCTACCAGGAAGATACTTTAGCACCACAGTGAAAGGTGCTTGCATCCCTGTCCAAAAATGCCCACAGTCACCAGTGTGTTTGGCAGAGACGGCTGCACGCAAGGTGGGCCTGGCTAAAGGGCCAATCTAGGCTATGGGCATCTAGCCCCTCCAGTGCACTAGAAAGGATTTGCTGCAGGCCGAGGTGGTAGAAGCTCTAGAAAAACGGCAAGGCCACGGGTGTACAGAGTGAAACCAGGGGGGTGGCCTGCCTGGGCAGAGACTGCAGCTTGCTGCGGCTCCTCCTCCACCCTGAAGCGACAGCCTTTCTCTTCGGATGAGTAGGCAGAGAGGGACAAACACCTTTTTACAGGTGTTATGAGTGCGAGAGCGTTTACCTGCTTGTGGGTATAAAAAAGTGAGCCAGTAAAATGGGTTATGAAATGGATCAAATTGGGGCGTGTGAGGGGTGAAAGCAAGGCCGGCTGCACAGGCACAAAACAGCAGTGAGGCGAACAGTTGGGCATAAACTCCCCCCTCTTATGGCTTCAACTTCCTTCCCTGTCTTATTCACCTTCCCAGTGTGGGCAGCATTGTTTTCCACAAAAAGGGAAGCACATACCAAGCTTCAGGTAGTCCTCAATTTATGACCAGCCGCTTAGTGGTCAAAGCTACAACAGATCTCCCCCCCCAGTCATGTGTCCGCATTTCATGTACCTGGCAACTAAGCCTGCATTTATTGCCACGTGTTGTCTCCCGCATTCACATGATGGCAATTAAGTTGTTTTTGTTGAAAACTGGTATTGCAAAAAAAAAAAAAAAAAAACTGGGTTACAACCGTCATGGTTTGCAAATGGTAATGGGCAGGTCCTATTAGAGTCATAAGTTGAGGACTACCGATATTCAAATGCTTTAAGTATCACTGATGCCAGGTCCCAAATTCTTGGGCCTTTGGCCTGCCTTTTTCTGCAAACCACTTGCAGCTTATTTCTGGATTTGACCTTGTGTGGCCTAACAAAATTATTTTCTTAATATGGTTGGAGAAAAATTCTAGAAGAAACAAAACCCTTTTGTCTTTTGCCCAGAAGCCAAATCGAGTTTTAATTTCTGGAGCCCCACTGATCATTTACAGCCAGGGGTGCCCAGGTCTGGCAACTGGGTTTACAGAACAAACCATGGCACCACCAGTTCACCTGAAAAGGGAGCACTGTATTTCGAGGCAAACATGACAATGTTTCATGACAGGCCTGACTGGTCTGCTCCTCTGAGGGAGCTCTTCTTCCCTAGCCCAGATCCAAACTCCACGGAAGCCGCAGAGGAGGAAAAGCAAGGCCTCCCCTGTCAGCCGAACGGGAGGCTGCTGTGGCCATTTGGGGGAAGCAGCTCGCTGCAGAGGGAAGAGCAGTCTCATTCTGCCGGGTTTGACAAGAAGCAGCTTTTGTCACCTTCACCAGTCAGTGAACGGAAGCAACTGCCTCTTTCTCCTGCAACACAGACAGACCTCGATCACGTTGGGAGAGAAGGAATCCCAGGGCCCCGTCACTGCTGGAAGCGGTGCTCCTTCCCCATTGGACGGAGGTCCGGAGGCCCAGCCTGTTCATGATTTCTTGGGTCAAGTGCAGCTGCACGAAGATCACTGATGGAAGCACAGAGGAAGAGAGATGGGCAGGAAATGGGCCGGGTGGGGTGGGGTACAGGAGAGTGGCAGGCTGGGGCTCTAGCGGATGCTGCCCCCTTTCAGAGATTTGCACGTCAGGTTCCCCAGAGCAGTCATAAGATTCTTCCCCTTCCATTGGGCCACAAAGTTCTCAGAAATCTGGAGGTCGGCCTGGGGAGAAAAAGAGAAGATAGCGCCAGGCTCAACATCAGAGACTGACTATTCCTAAGCATGTTTGCTTAAAAGGTCCAGAGCTGCCAGGGGTTCTTCTATCTGGGTCGCCCCAAAGGTGCTTTTTCAGGAGGCAACTGGACTTCCTTGTTTTTTCTTTTGCACTTCTCATCCA